ATAACCTCAAATGGCCGAACAACTGGAAAACAGTGTTAAAACCAAACCAGAAGAGTTAACTCTCCAAACAGCTGAAGGTCTGCGAGTTACTTTGATGTAAGCCAGCGTTTCTCAAAGTGGGCGATAACGCCCCCTTGTGGGCGCTGGAGGCTTTCAGGGGGGCAGTAGAAGGCTCAAAGAGAATTGGGGGCGTTAAGGAAATCTAGAGGGGCGACGGCAGACAAATTATATATATAAAAATTCGACGGAATATATATAAAATGTTGACATTTTATATATTTTTTATTTTTTGTTGAAGGTCACAACTTGAATATTTCTAACACATTGACTTATATTTTAGCTCAGCGTTTGTCAAAGTGGCAATAACGATGAGTAGATCTAGGAGGAGCTGGAGGCAGGGTATTGAACGGTGACCAAAGGCAAAATTGGGGCTGATAAGAGGAAACATTGCGTTTAATGATTTCCACATGTTGAGAACAATGTACAGTAAGGGCACAAAGTGTGAGATTCATAGAAAAGTTTTCCTAAGAATATTTCCAATCCTTTTCTCACACAAGAGAAAATGGGTTAGGGGGCGTTGGGTATAACTTTACGGAACAAAGGGGGCGGTGGATCGAAAAAGTTTGGGAATCACTGGTTGTAAGCTATGGATCGGATTCGGTACTTTCTATAAGACTGCAATTAGATATATTTTAATTAAAAAATTCAGTATATATAAAAGAAAAAACACAAGACTAGTGAAACCTTACGTCTTTTTTCTTTCCCGATATCCGTATTAAAAACTCAATTTTTTAATTAAATTTTATATCCGTTCCATTAGAAACCGTTTTTAATTGGTTTTATCAATTTTATTGAAAGGGGTTTTTTTTAATAAATAGATATGTTTTAACAGGAAAAATTAATCAAGATCCACTTTAGGTAAGCAAATAAACTAAATTAAAGAATTTGCTGGATTAATTTTTTGTTTTTTATGTAAGCGCTTCTTTGGTACAATTCGTCAGGCTAGTTGTGGAAATGATCCAGCAGTATCAACATTTATACACATGTACCAACTGTTAATGATTTACTCTTATATAAAAGCACCCGCATATTATTAATGAATAAAAAGCAGTTTCGAATTTGATAGATTTTCAGTCATTGACAACAGAAACCTCAGGTTCAATAAAATCCACTCTCATTGAAAAAAGCTGGACACATTTTTAATTCAGACATCTCCAAAGTGTAATGCTGTTTTTGAATACGATTACAGCAAAGCAGAAGTTTGAGACTGCATTATTTGCTACTAGTAGCCCGGGACGCCCCCTAGTGGGCATTCCAGCAGCATTACAAATTCCTGAGACATGTTTAATGCACTTAATATATGAAAGTTGTGTGCGCTTAATGTTTAAAAGTTTGATTCAGTTAGTATATATAAATGTATACAATTCTTCATCTTCTGCAAGCCTCCACGTGTTGATTGTGCTATTCTCTGTAATGTTTCCTGCGCACGTCTCTCCCTTTGTCTCGCAGCAGCGGCAGCTTTACGTTCCCCCACAGTGGCGTATTTCTTTGGTCGTGCCATGAAAGGTTTCTATTATTATATTAAAATATTACCTTAACTATTTCAAACCTTATCGTTTTATCGTAGCGGTTCAAATCTATCTGGTTTTTCGTTATTCGCCCCCTAGTGAACATTACAGGCATTCCGTGACAATAATAAATTCCTATTACAAATATATTGAATTATTTATATTGTTATATTGACCAAATAATAATTTATTGGCCAAATGAATAATAATAATTTATATTGTTAATTTAAATAATAATTAAAATTGTTAATTTGAATGTTTGAAATATGACACACGATAGGGGCGCCTCTAATGTCCGTTATCAAACGGTTACGGGACAGACGGACACGTTGAATGGGTTATATATATAGATATCTGTGGGTTTATCTGTAGACATTTTCTAAAGAAAATTATGTCAAGCTTGCATCGAGGCATTTAAAACTATATGCAGTACTTTTTCTAGTTTAAAAGAAGCTGAGCTAGTTTAATATTAAAAATAATTTTATAGTTAAGCAAAATTATATAAAAATTTCAATTATATTTTAGACTATTTTGCCGACAACCTGTCTCGATTTGAAACTAGGTAGCACAATAGTTCAATGTTAAGAACATCAGAAATATTTATACGTTTTGTGAATCCGATTGATGTCACCCCTCTGATCATAAAACTTCAGTCCATCTGCAATTGAGTTGCTAAATACCTATAAGACAAAGTACTGTACAGCATTTTAAAAATAACATGGTTTACGTACTATTGAATAAGTTCATCTAATTTTTAAAATAAATCATAAATACTATTATCCATTGTATACTTATTCTAATAGAAAGATACTTGGGTAGCCAATTCAACTTTCACTTTTCGAAAAGTGTTTGGATAAATGTGATTAGGAATTAGTTTAGGACAAACTTTTAAGCATCCTGCTCTGGAATCCAGGACAAGCAAAGCTTGATAATGTTTCTATGATGACATCACTCAAAACCTAATTAAATAAATAAGTTACTGTTAAAAATATAGCATTTAAATAACTTTTATATAAAAATTTATAATATACGTAATATATAATATGTCCAATAAGAAGCCGATTTCTGATTGTTTTAATAAGATGAGGAGTATCAGAAAATATGAAAATTCTTATGTTGCCATCTGAATGATGCATGAAGTAACGTTTAGCCACCACCTAAAACAAGTCATCACAAACTATGTAAAAAAGCTTAGATGAACAAATTATCATTTAAAATTTTTAAGTTTACGTGAGTTTCCATTTACTCCCAGACGTTTCCACATACTTCTGTTAGTAGCATTCTAGTCTTTAATAATAAAGTGGACTGCAAAATGTCTTTCGCAAACGAAATCTGTTAATTTATAAAGTCTGTCTTTTCTATGAATCATTCATCGCCACTTCGGGAAAGTTCTTTAAATAAACTTATTTTCTCTGAACGTGTGGCGTATCTGGCTGGCATTGCATCCAGTCACAAAACATGTTTTGCCCATTATTAAATAGCACGTTTCGAACTAATTTACTGAGAATGGCACTTTACTACTAAAAAAGTGAAGTAAATACAGTAGAGTTCCGAAAACCCGGCACTCGATAACCCGGCAGTCCGGATAACTCGGTCAAACCCTGGCAGGGAGAAAAAAACCCTAGTTAATTATCATTATAGACAGATTTATGTTTTATTAAGTATTTTTCTGAGGTCTGTCTTATCAGGTAATTTACTGTACACTGTATATTCATTAATTTTCATTTTCATGTAGTAATGGCTCTATGCCTTCATAAAGTACGTTTTCCTTTGTTTAAAGGTATTTGGGCAGTTTATTTTCTGTTGTATTCTCAAGCAAACAATACATATAAGTACAGTACAGTATTTTCTGAGGACGACACACTCTTACTTACTCTTTCTTAACCTCATTCCCGATAACCTGGAATTTTCACAAACTCGGCCATCCTTCGGTTCACATTAGGCCGAGTTTTCGGGACTCTACTGTATAACCAAATACTTTTCGTAAGTAGTCATAAATTAAAAATATACGAAACCAGTGGATCACCCAGGGGGCAAGGGGCCCTGGCATCCTCAAAGTGAAAGGAAATTCAAAATTTTTCTTAATTAAAATTTATTTTTTATTCATACAGGGTGTTTATAAACGAATGGTGCGGTATTAAAAATATACGAAACCAGTGGATCACCCAGGGGGCAAGGGGCCCTGGCATCCTCAAAGTGAAAGGAAATTCAAAATCTTTCTTAATTAAAATTTATTTTTGTTTTTATATTCTGTCATGTCTTGTATACTACAGTACTTATGAGTTAGTTATAAGGTGGAAATTTTATTGAATTCGCAATAAAAAATTTTTTTATCCGTTCAACTTGGTTCCTTAAGATTGCGCCATTATTCACAACACTCAACAAATCATGATATGGGGCAGGTTATGTGCATTAAGCAAAGCTCCGCTAGTTTTTATTGACAATGGTATCAAAATCATAATCAATGGTGTCTATATTATAATAATAAATACTTCTACACAGCGAGTAATACTTTCATACGTGGATTTTTCTCTCTTAATTCTGTTAACCTATCGTACATTCCCTTCTTTCCATTTTTAGTGATGTCGGCGGGATCAAAAGCCGATAATTTATGTTTCTTCATCCATCCGAATGCAAAAAGTAAATGGGTNAATATCAGTACAGCGGCGCTTTATTCCAAGGGCAAAAAAAAAAAAAAATGCAATTGTCTGGGGCCCACACTAACAGGGGGTCCCAAACCAATTTTTTTTATAAGAAAATATCTCTCCTCGAAGCATTTCCCCGAAGAAAAATGTCTGAAGTCAACACTGTACTGTACATGGGCTTCCTAATTCAAATTGGCCCGGGCCCTTTGAAGCTATTCAATATAATGCGCCACTGTATCAGTATCCAAAGTTTAAAAATTAACAAACCAATAGACCTATACGATTAATTTTTATTATTATGCAAAAATGAAATAGTTAAAATATATTTAATACGTAAACTACAATGATTAATATCTCAAATATATTAGAGAAATGTTAAAAATTAGTAAATCATTTTTCATTAATATATTACCCATATATGATGAGTGTGGTAGAAAAACATGAAAAATGACTATTTACAAATTAATTATTCATAACATTCATTCTTTCTACTTGTGCTTTATATACAAATTTTATAAGCTTAAAAAATTAATTAATTTAATTAATTTCATAATCGAAAGTAAACTATAGGTATATTATCGAAACGATATCGATGACGTCAGTGACAGTTTATCCCTTACGTTAGATGATAAGATATACTTTCTCTTTCAATAATTCTATATATTTTATTAATATTTACATTTTATAATAATGACAAAAGATAAACAAATATAAATTTTCTATGTATATTATTATTCATAATTAAACAAGAAATATTTTTCTTTACTCATTACAAAAATGACAACAGATGGCGTCGTTTGTAAAAGTAGGTAGTGGGGGTAGCAGCGAAGCAATTAGCGAAGAGGAGGATGCGGTGTCGATTGACGTTTTGGGCTGACGGATGAGTATAATGTAAGAAATTTTTAAAATTATGCACATTAATGAATTAAGTGTTATCTTATTTAATTATAACAATCTCTGACCGGAAATTGTTCGAATAAAGGTATAGAAAAGTATGGAAAAATGCGGATCTTCTGTACTGCATTTCTATACAGAACTATTGACATTTCTTAATTGCGCTAAGTGTGTGACGATCGTTTCTTCAAAGCAAACACTTACAATTCTGTTATAGTAATCTTTAAATGAATAGGAAGTTGTAATGAGATATAAGAAGTTATTCGATCGCTTCTGATTGAGTGTTTCCTGTCGTAATATTTCTTGCAGGAAACTATTTGTCTTTTTAAATCGCTTTCATAATCTTTAAATTCCAATCATTCAAATCTCCATTATGTCAACTCTTTAAAATCTCGGTTAATAATGCGATTTTAAACATCATTACTCAATATATTTTTTTTTCATTTTATAAATTTATATATCTAATGTATCTGCAGATTTAATTTAGGTAATTATTTTATTTAAATTTACAGCCACATTAACTTAATGAATTTGCCTACTATATATATATGTATGTATGTATTAATTTTTTCTGTATTCTGTTGCGTGTATTTAAAATTATAAATTTGATTAATCGACTAATTGTTATATCCCAAATTATTTGATTTTTATAAGTGATTATAATTTAAAATATGAATAAATGTATTATAAATATTATATATCCAGCTTAATAATAAATCTTCTTTTCTGGTTGCTGTATAATTTATTGTACTGCGTCTGACAAAATGATTTGTTTTGATAAAGTGTTTTTGTTCTTTTAATTAGGAATTATTGCATATTTATTATATCTGATTTAAAATTTTGAAATATTTTATGCAATTTATAATTAACACAGAATTTAAAAACTAATTATTGACTATTTACTGTATATATGGTGCTTTATCTAATAAATATTTTAGTATTCAATTATAAGTATAATTAAACAATGGGAATAATTAATACCTTTTGATTAAATATTAAAATTATTATTAAAAATAAAATGAAATATTGTACGATATGTGTTCATTATAATACTGTATAATTGTTAAATGTCTCATGTAATGATATTCTTCTGTTTTCATTCACTGTTTTTCTGGTGAAATAAAAACAGTAGGATATTATTTTTTCATCTTTTTTACTCATAAGATGACGTTTGAGAATAAATTCTGATTTTTTTTCTTTTGTAATCAAATTTTAATCTAAAAAATTGCTGTAGGATAATTTAATTTTATAAAATATATAACCTTCAAAATAAAAGTACATATAAGTAAGCATGTGCTTTCTGTTAATGCAGCTAATTATAAACAAATTTTGCTAAAATATATCTTGCCAAAATATCTAACAATAATAATAAATTGTAAGATAAAAATTTCAATGGTTTAATTTTTTTGGCAAGATTTGTTCTTGGCTTCATTTTTTCATTTTTTTATGCAGGAAAACAAATTATATTGTATTCTGATATATCTAAAATATTTATATTAAAAAAAATGAAGTTTTTTTAAAACATATTAAATTTAAATGTTGAATCTTAGTTTTTTTCGCCTCTTACTATTTCATGTGGTAGAAGACTAGACTATAATTTATACTTTGTAAAAATCGTACATGAAAAAATAATTTTTAAGATAAGGAATTTATTTGAAAATTCCAAATTTAGAATATGATTTTGTTGCAATTTATTTACATGTATTTTTTTAAGGTTAAAAGTTAAAATTTTCACATTTATTTTTATAAATTTTTAAAATAATATTATATTTTGAAGTGAAGATAACAGTGAATTACAGTAATTCTAAAAATGAAATTAATGTTTTATTAAATACAGTATTAAATTCTGTTAATTGATACAGCTATCAGTTTTATATTCTTTGATTTTGAAAATAGATTTGTTTGTATCAAGATTTACATCAATGGTTATGTTTAGATGTTAAATACTAAAGAATATTAAATTAAAAAGGAAATAAAATTGTAATTATGCATTTTTTAATTTAAAAGAACTTTAAAATATTTCAAAAAAAAAAAAGCAGGGATTATCAGCTATTATTGTCACTGGTGCATGAAATGATTTGAATGTAGTAGCTTGATCTTAACAATCACTTAAATAAACAACTATTATTGTCATGCTTACCAAACAGAAATATTGCAATAAAATTCTAGAAACATGATAATAAAATATTCCATTATTATATTCATGAATTTTATACTTTAAATATTTAATGATTTTTTGGAAATACATTAAACAATTAAAAATTGCTTAATTAAAATTTTTGGATAATTAACATTTAATGTCAATTTTAAGCTTTTAAGATCTGTTTTCTTTCCAAAAAAGTATGAATATTTTGTTTTTGTAAATGAAGATTTAAAATTATAATTTATACTTGTTGACAAGACTATGTCTTGTTTATAAAATCGTACTGCCGTTTTTATGTCACCATCATAGAGGTATGAAGGAGTACATGTCGAGAGTTGATATTTGGCACAGAGTATTAGGTGCCCAAATCATTTGCGCATAAAAAAAACCCAGACTTGTAGGTCCAGACCGAGAATTGAGTCAAAATAAAATCCAAAATGGTGACCCTCTTCTACAAACAGGCAAAACAGGACCTCACCCCACCGAAGTCAGGTGGGGGGAGAGTACCACCCACAGTCATTCTAAAAAGTGGACTCTGACCTTAGGACCGAACACGTAGTTTCTTCTATGTTAAATAAAATTTGTAATCTAATTTTGTAAATTTGGGAGTGCTTCAAATATGACATTAAAATGGTTTTATATCGTTACAAGTGGGTTTTTTTAACATTATCTAGTATAGTAAAATCGTGGGACCAATAAAAATTTGACGTTATAATCGGGTAAACAAACTGTATATTGTTTGTGCAAAATAAAAAAATAATTTTGTAAGATACAATAGACACAATTATTTTTTGCAAAAACAGGAAATTTTCGTTACGCATCAACAAAAATTCAACCCTGGTTGACATGCAGTGGAGAGAAATTTCAAAATTGGTTAGGTTAATTTCATCAAAAATGCATCGTGGACGACCTCATGGTCATGTCAGGCAAAGTTTGAATGACTGCACCCAAAAGCAGTGATACCAAAGAAGATTGGAGAATAAGAACGAGACCCACCTTGATCGTCAAAGTGATTCCGCTTAGTAGTGAGTCTCTGTGACATCGTCTTGTCCCAAATATGGTTTTGCCATTTTACTTGTTTAAAAATAAAATAATCAATTATAATGTTTTCTTCTTCAAAAACTGGTTGTATGGAATGAAAACATACAAATATACCCTAAAGTAATAAAAATATTTATTGATACCTGATGGTGATTATTGAATGAAAATATTTGTATCAGTAAATATTTTTATTCCTTTTACTGGTTTTTGGTATATTTGTGTGTGTTTTTATTTTTAAAATCATTAAAATTATTATGCATGCTACAAAGTTTTAAAATAAAAAATAAAACAACAGTTTTAAAACATTGAATTTTTAAATAAAATTACATTTCTAATACTGAATTTAAAAATTCAGTATTTCTGAGAAGTAGGTCTTATTATTTGGACAAGGAGCTGTTTGTGTTTAGGACTACATGTTCACCAAGTTTCGCTCAAATTGGAAATCTGGACATCTGGCCCTCCTTTTTGTTGGCTTCAATTTGAAAAAGTTGTAGACGTATAAATTCCCACTGTCTTTTGTCTGTTCCCTCATTTGTATGTCCATCTGTCTTTCTGTAATCTCGAGAACAGAGTTAGATAGATGAAAGACAAGAACAGATATGGAAACCTTAGGGCAGGAGGCCCTGATTAACTATATATAAACTTATGATTCAAATTGGAATTTATGTTATTTCAATTCAAAAATTTTTCCCTCAAAGGAGTTAGATGACTGGCATAACTCTGTTGCTAACAGGAAAAGTATGATGTACAGGGGCTTGATAATAAGAAACTTATGATGTGCAGGGGCAAGACACTACTAATTTGAGGTAGAGAGCATATGTTTTAAATTTAATAAATTAAAAATATGATTGTCACAATGCCAGGCTGCAATTTTTAATGTCACAATAAATATTTGCTTGTTAGCAATAGGAATCATTTCTGAATAATTTTTTAACGAATAATTCTGAATAACACATTTGATTATGATTCTTAAATGGAATTTCACATATTCTGTCATGTCAAAACTTTTTTATGACATATTTGCAAGCTGCCACCACAAATACCGTAGTTCCTTCATCTTTTATGTCAGCAACCTTTTCACAATGTCCCTCTTGATTGGTATCCCAATATTGGCTAATATTAAAATGTTTTATCATTAGCATATGTAGGTTATGCTTTTATATGAAAAGTGGATATTACAAAATTGAAAATTTTTATATTATCAAATGAGTGTCACTCCTTTGATTCTCAAGTCATTTCATAATTATTTAAATACAAAATATTGATAGTTTTAAATGAAGTGTGATGATATTTGAATATTCTTAGGCCTGAAGGTAGAATGCCACTGTCTGGTTGTGTATTATTCTGTTTCGTGGTTGGACAATTTGCCATTTTTGAAAGTTCAGTTTTTTTGGAAAATTCACTTTTGATAATGACAAAATGATGGCTTCAAAAGTTGAGCAGTGGACAGTGTTATAACAGTGTATAATTAAATTTGTTCTCTGTAGGCTCAATTCACAACAAATGGTTGTAAATCAAAAAGTGTCCTGACATGGAATGGTCTCCCCTCTATATAAAGTAAAATATAAAATTGTGTTAGTTATAATATAAAAAATTTATATTTTGTATTATAATTAATTTTTATAAATAATTAACATGGCTTTGTAATTTACTAATTCCTCATTGAAATAGTATTTACAGAAACAATAAATATAAAAATTTCATAGCACAGTAATAATTTATTCTGTCAAACTATAAAAGATGGAAAGTACAACTATCTGATTGATTCAGATTTCTCATTCTAAAGAAATTTAATCCAACTCTCTGCTAGTTG